TGTTGGTTTTGTTGTTGTTGTTGTTGGCTGTGTAGTTGTTGTTCGCTGTGTAGTTGTTGTTCGCTGTGTGGTAGTTGTTGTTGTTGTTGATCGTTGCGTAGTAGGACCTGCTGTTCTTTGTCCACCCGATGCTTTTCCAGGCGATGCTTGTTTCCCTGATGCTTTTCCAGGCGATGCTTGTTCACCTGATGCTTTTCCAGGCGATGCTTGTTCACCTGATGCTTTTCCACGCGATGCTTGTTCACCTGATGCTTTTCCAGGCGATGCTTGTTCACCTGATGCTCGTTCAGCGGAATTTTTTGCAGATGATTTCGGTTGAGTAGTTGTGGTTCTTGTTGTTGTTGTTAGGACTTTGCTTGTGTTCATGCCTATAGTTTAAAAGAATTGTTTTATCCTTTGCGAACTGATATTCGTAGTAGAAGTCATTTTTTACATACTGAAACTTCAAAAGTATCAGCGTAACTGAAAATTAGTACATTAAATATAATCTTTCAAACTCACTAGATGTTGGCGTAGGTGGAGTACAGATATTACTTAAAAGAAACATCGTTTCAACACCGTTCACAACAGCAGATGCAGATTGAAGTTTATCGGGCCCTGGAGTAAACACATAAGCATGTTGATTATTAGGAACTTGGACCATTTTTGTGATTTTCCCAGCTTTTTCGAAAGAGCAGCTGATTGATATGAAAGACGTTTGAGTTCCTCTGAATTTGAAATGCCAGCCATATTGATAACCATCAGGAGAAGTCGGGCAAGTGCCAGCTGTAAATCCTGGATTGATCGAACCAATTTGCAGTATGTTCAATGATGCACTTCTAGCTGCAACTCCCGTTGCATGAAAAATAAATATGATGCTTGAAAAAACTATCAAAAAGTTGATTCGAAACATGGCTAGTACGTTAGGATACGTGTTCTACAGATGAAAAATATCTATGTTTAAAATGTGGCAAACAAACCTAATCAATGTTGCCTTTTATATCTATATTTTTGCCGATTAGTTCTGCCTTCAGAAGCACATAAAAAAGGAAAATAAAAATTACGATTTATCAAGAGCACCACGAATCAATTTCAAGAGAATCGTAATTGTTTTCTGGTGCACATACTTGGCCATCTGTTTTGGCATTATGATTGCATTTAGCACTGCATTATATTAAAAATTATTACGTTGTAATAAAGGCCATAGCTGAATAATGCTTATAGACAAGTACACATTTGAAGTTGACAAATATATAATATCATTCTATCAAATTAATTATTGCAGATTCAAAACGGTTTTTTCTGTTTAGGAAGGATTCAAATTTCGTAGAAAAATTCCAGAATCAAAAAAAAAAGTCAAAAAAAAACAATGATAACATACTGGATAATTGAAGTATATTCCGAAGCACTCTTTTAGTTATGAATTAAAACTAAAACAATCGAATTTTTTGAATGCTTTCAATCTCGATAGCATTGATTTAGACATTGAATGACGTTTAATGGGATGTTCCGTTGCATTCAAAACATTACAATCATATATGTTCTAAATAAAAGAATATCTATATCTAAGACTTCTGAAATTTTGAATACACAGATTCTCTCAAGAATCTATAGAGGTAACTAGACGAAAAACTAGAGTCAGAGTTGATTAAAATTATACATTTTTAATAATTTATCAATTAATTAGGAATTAATTGTAATCGAAAAATATCTGAATAAAAAAAGAAATTAACAATTTTATTTTATTTTATTTCGATTATTACATATTGAAGCAATGGATAATTAAAATTTATTTTTCATCGAGTGTGCCCAACGAGCAATATTAAGATTTGTAAAGAGTTCATTCCGTTTTCACTGATACTCAATGGATTATCAACGAAATTTTGCTTGTTCGAGTCATTTTTTCGTTTTTTACTAGTTAACAGCGTGCTATTTTTACTTAGTTTTAAAAAATTTTAATTTAATGTTGCGTTTGATTTTTCTTTCAGATGAAAAGTAATTTTATTCATGACAGCATATACTTATTGCAGCCATTTCGTCTGTTTTACAGCTATAGTAGCAAGGAGGAAAGTGCTGGCTCCAAGCACCAAATTTTACTATAAAGTGCTGAAGGTGCTGAGCAGGTGCTAGAGATGCTGAAATATGCTAAAGATGTTAGTAGTTGTGGAAAAGGAACAGTAAATTGAAGGAGAAATATACAACAGGATGACATAATTCTCTGTTAAACTCGTTGTTTTCCCTCGATCTTGGTGAATACACTAATTACACAATAAAAACAGAGATATGCCAAATTAGGAACCTGACTTCACAGAGAATCTGCACCTAATTTTATTAGCTTCAGAACCATTATTGAATTCTGATTATTTTCCACGAGTTTATTGTGTATTTTATGAGGGTCTACGAAAATTGCTCGAATGAAAATTGCTCGATACGAAAATTGCTCGATACGAAAATTCGTAAGGATAAAAAACAATCGAGCTTAGCTTTAAAAAAATGATTTTCTAAGTAAAACTTGCAATTAATACTAATAAGTTAAACGATAAAAAAAGAACTTTCAGATCATCATAGAGAAATTACTCATCAAAAAGAGCACATATTTGTCTGAAATATGGGAATTGTTATATGCTTAGATTACTTCAAATAAGCTTATCATTTTTTTTGATAACATCTATCACAATAAGATAGAGTTCACTTGATCTAATAATGATTAGATTAAAAGACTCTTAATACATTATATAAAAAGCTGATATATGTAAACGGAACACTACTATTTTTCACAAATATCAACGTTTACATTCAGTACAACAGAAAAGAACAAACCTTTATTAATTTGTAAAGGTTTTGCTTATACTATCGATAAAACAACTAATGATAAACTTATTGAAAATATGAACATGTTCGAAAATTTAAATGTAAAAGACGAATTCACACTAACTGTATACTCATACAACATTATTACATGAAGACGATAATCATAATCATCCTGGTAATCCCGTTTCAACTGAAATTCGAATATTTGAAGAAAAAATTCGTCATCGAGCACTTAATTCAAACGAAGCTACACAAAATGTTATTGATTATTGTCTCACGAATTTATCTGATAATGCTGTAGCTCGTCTTCCTGATTTTAAACATGTTAACCCTTTCAATCCCGCGTGTCATCTACGAGATGACATGAAGAACATGAAACAATTTTTTTTCGTTCTGTCGTCTTCTTCGACGGCGTATATCATATGTAGTATTCTATAAGAAAAAGACGAAGGGTCTAAATGACACCAAAATGGGTTTACACTGTAATTTTTTTTAAATTCTATTTTGTAGAAAATCAACTTTAGTAACTAAAGTATTCAAACTTTTATCATGCATTTATCGAATTTCTATTATTTAGACAATGCTTGATTTTCTCCATAATTGAAATTCAATTTGATTTCCTGCATTAAATTGAAACTTGAATACCGGGATTTTATTTTCAAAAAAGTAGAAATTTATCACTGAATTCGTATTGGCATTTCTAGAATATCATTTGGAAATTCATATAGGCATTCTATATTTGACAGTGTATATGTATATTAACTTCAATATATATAGTCAAATACAGCTGATCGTCACGACAAAACGCAAAAGAGAGGGATTGAACTTCTTTTTTTCTTCTTCATACAGAACGCAAGAAAATGACGGGATTGAAAGGGTTAAACGAAATATTCAAAATCGTCGAGGAAAAAATGATTTACCCGAAATTCCACATGATAAAACATTTAATCTAATTCCGGACAAATTAACAACAACAAACGAAACAGTGTGTTTCTACAATTTGATTTTGGTCCAGGCAATGATCGTATTATTATATTTGCATCAGCTGAACAACTTCAAATTCTTGAAAATTAGGAACAATTATTAGTCGATGGAACCTTCAAGCTCTGTACATTTTTCCCGCTGCTATTAAGTTTTATTTAATAAATTAAACTCTTTAGGTAACACCATCGATTTTTTATCAATTATACGCTGTGCACGTGGTTTATCGAAATGCTGTTTTACCTGTCGTATTCGCATTATTACCAAACAAAACTCAACAAACTTATCGTCGTTTTATTGATAAATTATCAGAAATTTGTCCATTATGGAGTCCATAATTTATAATGATGAACTTCGAACTTGCATCAATGAATGCATTCGGTGATAAATTTGTAACAACAACAAATTCATCAATAGTATCCGGTTGTTTTTTCATCTACAAAATAGTATTCAACGTCAAGTACAAGTCAGTAATTGAAATTTGTTGATATATAAAAGATTGAAACTAGTTTTCGTTTTCTTCAGGGCTTAGGCTTCAAAAAGAATTATGAACAAGATCCAGTATTTTCTCATCATGTTAATCAAATGGCTGCTCTTGCATTTCTTCAACCGAATGATGTTAGTCAAGGCTTTGATGACCTGTACAATTCATTACCACAAATGTTACATCCATTATTAGACTATTTTGAAGATACATATATTGGTAGAAATCGTACACAAGGAAGAGCAAAACCAATGTTTGAAATTGAATTATGGAACATGCATCAAAGGACAACTGATCGTTTAATGCGGACTAGCAACTCAGCTGAGACTTTGCATCGCCGCTTAAGCTCTATTATGCAATGTCAACATTCTACACTTTGGTCTTGCATTAATAATTGAAAAAACGAAGAACATTATATCCACTGTCAATTGATCAAGCTGAATTGTGGTGAAAAAGTAGAACCAAGTAAAAAATATTTAAATTATAGTGCACGGCTACGTCATTTAATTATGCATTCACTACCATCTATTCTACAACATTTAGAAGGACTTACTCATAAGTTATGAATTCTTTTTTTTCATGTCTTACTCTTTCGTTTGTCAATTGTTCTTTTTGAGTGTGAGTAATTCTATAATTGTATCACAATAAAGGTAGAATTTATTCATAATTCTACTGAAGAGTATCAGTTTCTATTTTTGATAGAAGCAAACTAATTATTTTATTGTACGTTTCTCCATCAATTTTCGTATCGGTCAATTTTTGTATCGACCAATTTTCGCTCTGCCATTTTATGAAAACTCAATTTTTAACATCTGGGGTACCCCTCAAGGATCTAAAAAACGTTGTGTTCAGATTTTAGTGCAAGTAGTCATATTTCACTAAAGTTAAGTTCCCTGATCACAAATATCATTTTAGATTTTAAAATTCATTGCATACTAAGAAGGATTTGAAGCACTCTCGGGAAGACTTAAAAACAGCTATTGGCCCAAAGGTTCATGAATATCTGATTTATACCGTTTGAAAATAGGCCCCTTCGACACAGAATGTTTTTGTCTATCAGAGTATATAAGAACGACTTAGATATTCAAAATTTGTTTTATCGATAAATGCTAAATACCGCCCCGATTGCGTCATGCCGTTAGAAATAATGATATTCTCAATTTTTTGAAGTGTAGCTTTTCGACATTTACCAGAAAGATTTTCTTACAGAATAAGTAATTAAATGTCCTCTTTCTAATAAAACTGTTTTCAAATTAAAACGCCTTGTAATATGAAGCGTTTTCGTTCCAATACTACTCTTGAAACCTGATTTCTGTCATTTGTGACCGATATTCGGTAGTTTCAAACAGATTAATTCCCACTTGACTAAATTTATTATATTTTTTTAAGCAAAAAATCTAATTCGATTTAATTATTTCTACAACTTTTGTTTTCGGTCGGATTTTCATCTCTAGTCCCCGTCATGGATAGCGAAAAAATTAACTGACTCCAAAAGCCATGTGGACAATGTTAAAAGTTTCCAAAATTTGGGAATGATGATTGAGATAAAATAGATCAATTAATAATCAATCAAACAGTTGCTTTGAATAAAATATTTTGTTTTCATATAATCCTGGAGGGGACCAGACGTAAAAATCTGACCAAAACAAAAGTTGTAGAAAGAATTAGATCTGCTCAGATTTTGTGCTTAAAACAAATATAATATTTATATTCAGTCGCAAGTCGCATAGGAATTATTCTGTTTGAAACTATCAAGTATCAGCCAAGCAATGACAGAAATTCGATTCCAATACTAGTATTCGAGCGAAAACGCTTTACATTACATCGAGTTTTAAGTTGAAAACTCATTCATTAGAAAGAGCACATTTAATTACGTATCCGATAAGATAATCTTACTGGTACACCTCGAAAAGCCACATTTCATAAGACTGAGAAAAGCAGTATTTGTAACTGGATGACTCGATCGGGGGTAATATTTAAAATTTATCGAAAGAAAAAAAGATTGAATATCTAAGTCGTTCTTATATATTCTATAGAAAAAAACTTTTTGCATCGAACGGACCTATTTTCAAACAGTATAAATCGAATATTCATAGATCTTTAGGTCAGTAACTGTTTTTTTAAGGCTCCGATAGAGTGCTTCATATGTTTCTTATTATTCGATGAAATTCAAAACTGAGATAATACTTGTTATCAGAAAGCTTAACTTTATGGAAATATAACTATCTATATTAAAACCAGATCAAAAAAGGTTCTTCGACACTTGAGGGGGAGTCCAGGTGTTAAAAATTGAGTTTTTATAAAATACACAACAAAGTTGTGGAAAAGAATCCAAATTGAATGATGATTTTCAAGCTAATACAATTACGTGCAGGTTTCTTTTTACCAAGGAGTATGGCATTTCGTGCAATGTTTTTTTTTGATACCTGAGAGAAAGCAGAAGCTGTACAAATGCAATGGTGATAAAATGAAAAATAAACTTCTGAAAAATAATCAGAGCTCAGTGTTAGTTCTCACACTGATAAAAGAAGGATCAAACTTTTTGGTATATCATTTTACAAGTTGATATACGGTTACTTTCGAAGGATGTTTTTCTTTTTCTGTTGACTTCTCTATTCTGAAATAATGCTCATTCAGATTCTGTGAATAATTCAAGAAAAAATTCACCTCTAATATTGAAAATGAAGGTAGCTTTCCCGATTCATTTCCATATGACTGAAGTAAATCTCACTATAGAAATGGTGCTGCGAGTGCTGAGAGGGGGGGGGTCCCAAACCTGCACTTCCCCCTGGTATAGTAGTATAGTAGTCTAATCTTAGCAATGCAAAATAAGAAGAGAAAATGAAAAATTTAAGAAACTTACTAGGCATGTTCTCGTTTTCTTTTTGAAATCATAGAGGTTTAATAAATATTATTTTACTTTAGTAAAACTTCATCTCATTTTGGATAATGATTGTTATAGAACTGTCGGTTATTTGAAGTATTGTGACACATTATTTTAATTTCATGAAATATTCGAATGGCTCTTTCGTTAGTTTCTTACTTGAAATATGTACAATTTTCTAAGAAATAGATTTTTAATTTTTCTAGTTTAGAACCCAATTATTTCACGATTCAGTGTACGCTTTAACCATAAATACAGTATAATTTTTTGTGGAGCGTTTGGTTTTAGATTGTTAAGAGACTTGTATTTAAATGATCTTATATAAGTTTTATATTATTACTGAAAGTTAAATATATATAAAAATTAGAGAAATGGTTTGTAATGTAATTCAATCTTTAAAGTTGTCGAGTGTGAATATAGCAAGGATCATCATGCATTTACACTTACGTTGTTTTTCTCGATTCTCAACTTGGATAAGCTCGACAGAATTCGTCCATTAAACTTACTCTTTAATCAACACTATCATTTATTTGTGTATATCGACTGTTCGCTTTATTTGAGCGAATCGAAAGAACGCGTATCTTAAGCCTTGAGTTTGATGAATCTTGTTTCAAAGCAATATCCAAACAATGAGTAATTCAGTAAAAATTTCACTCGGTATAATATGTTAAATTTCCACATATCACATCGGTCTGTCCTATTGAGAATAATCATAGATCGGTTTCTATCTTCATTTTAATTATATTCATGTTACATCCACCATGTGTAATCATGTAGTCAACACTAGATAAATAGCATCTAAACTACGCCATCAATTTCTTATTTATCTTTTATTATAACATTATATTTTGTGCTTGCTAACTAATATATGTGTATCAACATCTCATTTGACAATTAAATGCCTTATCTAATGTTTAACATGTAGCTGGTTTTTTCTTACTTTCAAACTGATTTAAGGAAAAGTTTCAGATTCTATTTGTAAGAAAATAGACAAAAATCTGTTGTTAGTATCATTATATCATATTTTGAAACACAGCTTCCAACAGGAAAATTTAATATGAATATTGTGCAGCGCCACCAAACGAGAATATTGATTTGATTGGCCAGGAAATGATGTTGAACATTAGCAAATAGCAAAATGCGGATGTTTCCAACTCAACGTGTTTTTGTAACAGAAAAATGAATGGTTTCAATTTTTTGAACAGAATTAATATTATTGGGAAAATTTATGTTTTGAGAAGCACTATCGTGTTGTGTCGATGATGATTCTTCTACTATTTATCCCACCAATCACTCAACGTTGTAGCTCTTCATATGACTCGATGACGTTCGATTTCAATTAGATTTTAATGTGTTGTGTATGATCCGTTCTTGTTTACTTCTTTTTGCAGTTAAAATTTGTTGCAATCAGCATGATGTTATTCATCATAACTACCAAGAGCATGGGTAAATTGCTTTTCAATTTTTTATAAGTTTTACCCATTCGAGAAAAATATTTGTATGTTCAGATTGTTTTATTTAATTTATGTAAGATGAATCCATGCGATTAATCTATGGCTACCAATATGAAAAAAGTTCAATAAACAACGAATATTTCCGATGAATTTGTAGTCAAAAATGCTTTTTCAATAGATTTATTTGTTTTACTTACAAGATTACTTCTGTTTTTCACTTTATGCGAAGCTTCTCATGGTTACCTGCTTGCTGTGCGCTTGAAAAATACACATATAAGTGAAATATAAATAAATGAATTACTTGAAATAGTATGCAGTCAACAACAGATATTCGATGTGCGTAAGAGCGGTGAGAAGGTTAACGTACACGTCAATATGTCAAAAATTTGCCTATCGAATTCCGATTTGTGCAGACAAACACCGCTATTATCAATGATCATTTAATATTTGAACTGCAGTCATGAAGTGAAAAATTAAAATTTTATTTGTATGTTCAGTAAGTTGATTATTGAATCGAGTGCGTATAGAATTTTTCTTTTCCTATGATCACATGAGAGATTCCTATTCAGTTTCTTTGTACTTGCAGTTTTAGATCTATCGTAAAAATTTTATATGAAAGAAACTCGAATCACCACCATTGTAGAATACCTTTCATTTCACGGCACTAGTTATTGAGGTACAAACCTTTGAGTAAACAGTACTGCTGACCTCTAGCACAAAAATTTATAAAACAGCAAGAGTATTCTATCAGACAAAAGCCACATTCGCTGCATCGCACCTATATATAATTATTGATCGAAGTAGCGTGAATTGTTTTTTAATAAATGTCATTAGATATTTTTTTTTTGTTACCTTTTCAACATAAAAATGGTGTCAACATCAGTTGTATTAGTTAATACAACGAGAATTTACATGGTAAATATTAAGAAAATAGTAAACGATGGGTAAGGAATAATATCAAGTAACATCTAATATGAAATATAGACTAAACATAATTAATATAAAGATATGTATATTTTATTTCAAGAAGTAATTTTTAGTGAGCTTTAAATCAATAAATGTCGAGATCTTTCGATGATATTTCAACAAAAGACTTATGTACTAATTTATTTGTATTTCACTTTTATTTCGATTATAAACTTCTTTAATGTTTTTAACAGTACTTTATTAATGGATTTGATAGCTAATGTATAACTTTAACAAACCCATCCCATAGGTTTTAGCACAGGTGAATTATTTAAAAATATGAAATAAAACGAATAAATGTTTTGCTTGTTAAAAAGCCGAATTGTTTATCTTACTGTCACATTTGATTATCGAATCGATCATTTTGTATTTCAACTGAGTGACTTTCGAATTTGTATGTTAGAAAATTATTTGCGCAACACAAACAGTCCAATGGGCACATCTGCAAACAGAATTTTATTCCTACGCTTAAAACTCCACCGATATGTGTGTAGCATTTTCGTTTTGAATATTTTTTTGGAATTTTTTGCATGCTAAGGTTCAGTTCATTAACAGCGAGCCATTGCAGTAAATTAAAAAAAACATCGGTAAAGGATTTTTCATATAATCCTAGCTTGCACTATGATTCAAATTAACTTAATTAAAATTATGAAATACATTTAAATATTAATTGAAATAGAAAATTATCCTCTAAAGAACGCCTGATTCCGCTATAGCTTTACGTTTCTGCTAAAAATAATCAAAATCTATTAAACTCTAAATATCTCAATTCAGCAAAAATAGTTTCTACGCGAAAATACCGTCTCATGTCAGCCGTAATTAGTTTAATAAAATGTTGATAGTTTTTCGACTCATTTTTATTTTGGTTTTAATTTACTTAAATTCATAATTCAGTGAATAATTAAAATCTTGAAATTATGAATGACAACAAGTCGCTTATTTGACCTGTTAAAAACTAAATTTTTAATCTTTTAAAAAGTTCTTTGATAGTTAGTCAAATAGAAAAGAAATCGAATCATAGATCATTAAACGCTGATTTTCATTTACTACATTTAATTCACTTGAATATCAAAAGTTTAATACGACAGAAATGAGATGAAAAGGCCTTGAAGTTAATTGATAAGTTTTAACGCTCTCTATTAACTTCACAGTAGACAAAAAGGTCGCCACACATATTATGTAAAGATTTTTTTACATAGAATTTAATAGAAAATGTTAAAAATAACAAACAAAACAATCTTCTATTAATTCGGCTATATATATTTCAGATTAGAAAAAGTATTTATGGCTGATTTAGATGACATCGAATTTGAATTGACTGATAAGGATGAACAGTGTGTTGATATTATTGAAAATTGCCCATCACCTCCGTCACCATTTAATCTTGGTCATATCGAACAAGAAATTATTATTCAACCACCTATAACATTTAATGATCAAGAATCAGCAATTACAATAAAAAATATTGTCCCATTTGATACTATTTTTTTTAACGAAGCAAAAATTTATCTACTTGAAACAATGAAAAATAATACGTCAACATCCAATGAAACAAGACGAAAACAATCAAATAATAATGTTTTTCAACGTTTTATAAATTTTTGTCGTTCAGCAATGATTTCTAGTCGTACTTTAGAATTTAATCGACAATGTGAAGAGTTACTTAATCTAACAACATTTCCATGTAATCTGTCCGATCGTATTCATATACGCATTTTATATACAGTTTATCGTCGCCTAACCAACTCGAATGAAATATTTTATGCTACACTCGGTTCCCATTGGGAAGATATTGGTTTTCAAACATCAAATCCTGAAACTGATTTTCGTTCAACTGGTCTTTTTTCAATATTTTTTCTTCTTTACTTTGTTGATTCAATGTATTTACCATTAGCTAAGCAAATTTATCAATTTTCTCATGATCAACAACAACAATTTCCATTCTGTTGTATTGGCATTAATTTAGCTAATATCATTATAAAATATTTTCGACGATCATTATCTCGAATGAATATAGAAAAATTAGCTGATCAAAAACAAACAGATCATACAGCCATTGATTTTACGGGTAAATTATTTATTGCACTTTTTTTAAATTTTTATTTAAAATGGAAATATAATGCACACACTATTGAAGATACGCAACAAGTATTGAATGAACTTGAACAGTTATTAATGCATCAACCAAAAATGTTACTTGACGAATTTAATAATTACTTTCAAAGAAGACAAATAAAAAGTACACATGAAAAATCACATCAATATGCATTCCAACCAAAGAATGAAAGTTTGACTTAGTAATGAAATAATTCCATGTTTATTTTGTTTTTCTTTTTTTATTCGTGTTTTTCTTTCATGTATCAATTAACTGAAATATGAGTTTACTGCAATGACTTAAATGAGAATCTCTTTTTCTGAGAATGATTCCAGTAAATGTTCTAAAATTTTCTATGCAGATAAAGCGTGACTAATTCAACAGAAGTTGCCGTAGACTTCAAATTTTCAGGTATTTTCTTCTGTGAAATCTATGGTACGCTACTGTCAAAGATGATCCGAGGTTTCTAGCTGACCGGTTGTCTATGACAACCAGAATAAAAACTGGCAGATACCTTTTGTTTTCTTCGAACTGATTTGAGTTAAAATTTTCTAGAAAAACCCATGCCAAATTTGAAGCTTGCTTTTTCGCGAGCAACATATTGTAAAATAAATATTCTGTACTGAAACTCGCAAAATAAAACAAAAACCGTACCTACGTAGATGATCTAGCCTTAAATATTTTAATCTGTCCATATAAATAGAGCCGAATAATGTGATTGAAACTTATTTTCAGTTAATGCCTGTTTGTGATATCAATATTGTTTGTTTTTTTGTAATATTTATTATAAATTTTTGGATAATTTGCACATATTTTATTTGTTCAAAAATAAAAGGGTTCAATGTAAATGTAAAACTATTTGCTTTTTATATTTTCAAGATAAAATTTATTTCATATCAGTCATTATTGTTGCAATACAAATAATGATTCGACAAATCATTGGTCTTATTCTGTCTATATTAGCTGCTGTTGTAATGACTCTGACGTGCAGTTTTGATACCGAAGAGCTTATCGATGGTGATTTAGCGAAATCTACTGGTGGCAAATATAAATTTTTAACAATACTAAATTTAGTAAGTAGGTTTTTTTGTTTCATTAATATTTTTTTCTTTTTAATTTAGCATCTTCAAGCAATATATTATTATATGTGCATAGTTAATTTCTTTTTCGGTTCGGACACATTAACACCAGAAAAATGCTCATTATTGCAAAAAATACGTGATTGTATTTTTGCTGGATTAGCATTTCCAGTAGGAATGGTGAGAAAAAAATGAAAAGCAAAGTTTATTCACAAAAAAACAATACTGTTTCCTATTTAGTTTGTATGCATTACATTTTGGAGTTTGTACCATTTCGATCGAGAGTTGATCTTTCCAGAAGAATTAGATCACTTGCTTCCACCAATTATCAATCATGCTATGGTAAATAGTGACATTTATTTAAGATTCTCTATAGAAAACGATCGAGATTATGATTTCAGTCGAAAATTTGTTACGCTTCCTTATTCTTAGACGCCTTTCGTTGAATCGCAACGTATTAGCTCTGTTTCCGTGGTAACACTAAGAATGACGTCGGCCCATAATTGCAAAGCAACCGAAGCAGCAGCAGCTGCATGGCACTAACAATATTTATGAGATAGTTTTAACATATTGCAAGGTTTGTTTTGAATTTTTAATGACTGAGATACGCTTTTCAATGTTTTAAAGAAGACAGCTTCAAAACTTTCGACGGAGAAATATTTAAGATATCAGACATAAAGCATAAATCAATCAAGTTGTAATTGTTGGAAATAATAAATATTAATGATTCTGATTTTAACGAGACATACTGCGGCATGCTCAGATCCGTTAGAGAAATAAAATATAATGAAAAATAAAATAAAATAAAAATAACCGAGCAAATGACAACGAGGCAAAAGGAAAAAGAGCTCCAAAAAAAACAGAAAAATAATATTCAATTTCTACTCGCCTTCGAGAAATAAATTAGAATGAACGTTCTCTCACGATCAAGCATTTTTTCAATTCACGCGACTTTTTATTAGCATACTGAAACTGAAAACGACATTTGAGTTCTTCATTTTGAACCGATTGTGATTCTCAGAACATCATTTTTAATATAATTTTTTTCATTCTCTTTGTTTTCAGCATACATTACCAGGTGTGGCTATTTGCCTTGAAAATCTTGTTCATCATCATCGTTATCCATCGCGATTATTAGGTCTTTCGTGTGTTATAACGGTATGTGTTGCATATGCAGCATGGTGAGTAATGTTTCAGTCGGTCGTTTTTGCTATCCAGTTGCCTATCATGATTTAGGATTCATTATTTAAATTACATTCATTGGGTTAAATTTCAAAAAGATGTTTGGGTTTATCCGATATTAAGTCAATTGTCAGTTTTGTATCGTGGAATGTTTCTAATTGGTTTAGCATTATTTCATGTCGGATTGTATTTCATCGGTGAGATGTATACATTATATTTAACAAGTAAATCTTAGTATGATAATTTGTTGCATAGATAAAAATTTGCATTTTTATTAATTTTAGATTTCCGAATCGAAAAATTGAACGAACAAAGAAGAAAAATTAGATGATCTTTCTAAATCATATTGTTATATTTTTTTATAGTCAATAATTTTCAGTTCATTTATCAAAAAAATTACAAAATTTTTTTTCTTTGCTTTTGAAATCTCAATCTATTTTTCATATGCTAACTATTTTAGATGCCTGTGCAAAAGATTCCTTATGCACATCGCTTTGGTATTATTTCAACATCATATAAAGAAAAAATTCAAAAAGATATACAACAACGACAACAACAAGAAAGTGATCGATCATCATCAGCATATAGTATTGACCAGGGAAAGTGTGTGTTATTTACAATATATTATCAGTTACAATCTTTAATTTATTCTCCATTAGAAAAAATTTAATACTTGAAGTAACAGAAGAATTCGTACGTGATTATAATCGAGCTTCACCTACTGAAAAACCTAAACTCAATGATCTTATCTATCGAATGTTACAACGACTTAAAGTAAATTAAAAACGTCAAGTAGATGATATTTAAAAAAATAAAATCGATTTAGCGAAAATCATCACAATGTCAAGTACATTCAAATCGACCGATTCAATTACAAATGGCTTGGTATAGACTTTCTTTGAGATTATTTTGTTGTAGATTTTCTGTACTCTAATAGGGCTGAATTATGTTTATTATCTCAATGTAAATCATCTTATCAAGAAGGTATTCATGAAAAGAAAAAGTCTATGTTAATAATCAATGATATTTTAATTAGAATGTTTAACAACACTATATCGAGCTTTAATTTATAGTCCATTAAGTGCAAATCAGATCCCAACGTTATTTTTTCTCTCAGAAACAATTCTCTATTGGCTTAAGAATGATGCTATACTCGAACCATTTCTAACATCAACCGAATTGAAACTGTTAAAAGTAAGAAAAAAACGTCAGTCTCACTATTGTTTATTCGAAAATGATTTTAAATGTTCAAATTTAAAAAAAACAGACCAAATGAAAGACTTCCTGCCTTATTTTTGAATAATATTTTTATTAAATAAATGACTATTATATAGATTGGTCAAGTTGTGTTTCAACTATTGTATTTTCATTACTTAGAAGGTATTTTTCAAACAAGAAGAACGATTTTTCTCCTTTGGTTATTCGTTTATGTTCTTTAGGCTCAACGGGACCTTATGAAGAATTCAAAGTTCGTCTCCATACATATTTAGAAGGTGAATAAATCATTTTTGTCGATCGATTCTATTGAAGAATATCGTTTTTAGGTCTTGAAGAATGTGAAGCGGCTTATTCTTCATATCCAAATGCTGTTTGGTGTATTCATTATATTGAATCAATTGGTTCTGTTCTTGTGGCTAGTGTTGATAAACACGTATTAAATTCTCGACGTAGTATTTCATCAGCAAACAGTCAACCACCACCACCAGTTCCACCGGAAGACTTTCGCGAGATCAATAAATCTGAATTAAGTGCTATCGTTCAAGAATTATCACCGATTATTTGGCATTCAGTTGATGCTTGGTTGTTTGTTAGAAAATATTCAACAACAAATTTATCAGAAATTATGAACCATTATTTTAATGAAACAATTCTTTCATTAATTGCTTGCCGACATAAATTAATCGATGAAAATTGGTAGGATGCGTTGTCATAGTCGAAACAAAAGATTAAAGTATTCTTATTCATATAGGATTGATGTAGTTATGGCTTTTCAAATTCTGGCAGATGTTGCAAAAACAAATATCGACATGCTAGAAACTATTCAATTATTGGCTCAACGTAAATACAAATTTAAAAATAAAAACCAAACTTATACGAAAACGTTTTTGTTGTTTTCTTCTCATTTATTTAGCTGAATCAACTGCTCAACTTCCATTGCATAAACGTGCCGATGTTCATTTATTGTCACGTGGCTGGCGTTCATGGCCGTGGCAATTGATAGTTCTTCTATGTGAATGTCTCACATCAATTTGTATTGGTACAACACAAGCCGTAATTAAACGTACTGTTTTATTTGGTGTTGAAACATCATCAGACAATATTCTTGCATTTGCCAATGATAGTCAACTTCTTGTAAGTGAACAAAAAGCTTTTACTGAAACTAGTACAACACGTGGAAACGATGATAATGTTTGTTTAATGTATATGCTAAATTATCGAATAATCGATGAACACGGAAAATTAAACAACGATGAAGATGATCAATCATGGCGTATTCGATATATGGGTCTTTTATGCATGTCACAAGTATATAAACATTTGCAAACTGAACCGCGTCATAAAACAATAAGCAATTTACTTTGGATGTTTATACATGAATATGAAAAACGTGAACGTGATGATCGAATACTTGAAGCACTTAAAGTCGGACGAGTAAAGAAAAGCTTGATATAGATTTTCATTCTTTAGCTAAATTTGTTATGTTGATCTAGTTCGATGATGATATCATTCAAACATTAAAATCTGATATAGCAGACAATCAATTGGGTACCATTTATAATAATATTGCTCAACGTTTGGCTGACGGATTACTGCCAGATCCAACACCAACTGATTTACGATCAGCCAAAATAAAAGCGAATAAAAAACCGTCATTTAGAAAAGGACAATTCTTTCCCACATCACATACTCAAGATCGATATCGTCTCAGTATACCTTCAGTTCCACCTTCAAGGTTAGCTTTAGTTTTTATTTTGACATAAACTATTAACTCACGTTCAATTTTTAGAGGTGAGAAAAAACCTATTCAAATAAAAAAAGTTATTGAAAATAATATTAACGATGTCTTTAAACGAAAAGAACAAGTATTAAAAAGTATCATCGTTGATCAAGTTTGTTTTTTAGTCTCGTTGGTTTTCTCTCATGAAATAAAATTTGCTTTTCTTTTAAAATTTAGTATCGTAAAGAACTTGAAGAAAATCAAGATGACACAGTCGATGTGATTGAACAATTGGATACAATGGTTGAACGAGCTATGGAAATCACAACACTAAATGAAAACTCATTAACAAGCGTTTTTACATTATCCAATAAGAAATTTATTGTTGATCCATTGCAAGAACGACGAGCACTAGCAGAATTGATGGGTCAGAAACTGACGGCCGATGAAAATAATGACAAATAATAATCTCATTCCATTGATATTTCTCTTTCTTTTTGTCTACAATATTTTTTTTTAATATCAGTATTTTTTACTATTATAAAATAAAATTTTCTTCCGTCCAGCATTTTAACAAGAGATCGATATATGAAACACCTGGAGATAAAATGGATTCATTTCAATGATGAGGATAACATTGTGTTTTGTGCATTGCAAATTCATTGATTATGTATGTGGAAAAATCTTGAGCGTGTGGGTGTGGATTTAGGTAAGCGATATATCCACAGTCACATGCTTACCCCATAAAATTGGAAATTCTGGCTAGATTCCGAGTCTAATAGTTTCCTTTTTACCTTTCAGAAGTCTACTGTGACTCTTCAGGATCGATCCGAGAAATTATTTGCATTTCGTCATCAGTGTCATCTCGCACACGAATATATACATACAACCTAATGTTTCATGCCCATTTTAATCCATTCTCTATTTCTGGAGAAAACCTTTCTTGTCTGTCTGGTTTTAGATCAATTATAAATCGTTAGTGAAATAAACAATTTTAAAACGAAAAACCAAATCATAACTTGATTTATGTTATAAATCTTTTATTTCATCATATAACGGTTAACACGATAGATTAAGAAAAGAAATTTTTGGAAATTGTGTTGGATTTTTGGTCTCTTTATAATAACAACGAATAAAATCAGAATAATTTGCATGACCAAATGAGAAAACAAACGGACGGTTACTTTATTTTCGCTATTTAGAGAAACAACAGAAGGTTCAAATGATGATGATATTGTTATTGTGGAAGTTGAAGATGTTGTTACTATAGATTTTGATATTATGAATTGCATAATGATCATCTACACTCGTAAGATTGTATTGTATTTCTCATCTGACAATGCACGAAATGTTTTGATGACGGTCATTCTTCAGACCAAAAATCCAACAAAATGTTCCAACCAGAGATGTCTACAGGGCAGGGTAGACCAGGGCAAATTGCAGGACAGGGCGGAGTGGAAGCCGTATCCTGCAGGGTAAAAATTCAGTTGTTTGAATTTCAGTTTTGAAGAAATATTTTTAGTTTCGAAGTATCAAAAATAAAAAATAGACTCCAGAGAGCGACAGCAACTGGTAAGCAGAACTTCCGATTTATATTGACCACCGTATGAACACGGTAGAATCAAGACAATTATGAATAGCGACCATAAAAGACGTAGGATATCTTAAGTAAGAATGGGAAATTCGAATATTTTCAGAATAGATTACTCCAAAGAACTACCGAATAAGGACAAACTACTTTCCAGGTAGAACTCGCTGAGCTCTATTCAACTCAGATGCCAATCGTACTCAAAATCTTCCTAGCAAAGCTGAAAGTAACAAAAACCATAAAAAAAGCCATACAAAACTCAACCAATTTTGCTGAAATTCCGTCACGATTGGTCAGGAAGTATTTTTCAACATAGTCGCAGTGGCTTCCAATCGATAGAGCAGGTAAAAATCTGTTTAGAAATCATCGTGGTTACCTCGGGAAGTTGCTATTGCGCAATCACGAAAGGATTTAGCAAAAAGTCTAGGAATTTGGACTTAATTTCTATGGGTCGAGAATGTCAAATCGAGCCCAAAATGTATCTAATCGATAGAGTACGGCAAGATCTACATGGAAAATAGTATGAGTCATTGTAAAGTTCTTCTGGCGAATCACTATGGATTTTACTAAAATTCGTTCAGTTTCGTATGGTTTTTCGGGAGTTTAGCTTTCTGCCAGGTAGTTCTTCAGTAGAATTCATATACGGGCTGAATAGATCCTGTCATGTTCTGCTTCAGAAGTATTTTGTCTTTTTTGGAAAGCTGTTTGAAACGAATTCATTCAGGAAATACTCGGATCCAATTCAAAGATATTCTCCGTATACCAGCTCAGCAGAGTAGGATCAAGTTACATTTTAAATTTTTGCATTTTTTTCAACATGGCAGGGCACAAAAAATCACTCTGTAGACATCTCTGCTTGACACAAACACAAATTCTACTATTCTTAGGATTAATTGAAAATTGATCTACTACATGTTCATAGTTAATATCAGAGTCACGCTCAACATTTAGAAAATAGCTACGTGACTCAATCAGTGCTATCTCTGGTAGCATTTGTACAAATATGTATAATCTTCGAAAATTTGCAAGTGCGCTTATAAACAGTCTTTGGGTGGGCGCAGCTTCTTGCCTGGCACCTGTAGCTGTAGCACCGCTGCTTGAATTAGACGGTCAAAAACTGATAACGGATAAAAATAATAACGAGCAATAATCTCATTCTACTGATATTTTTCTTGCTTTTGTGAATGCATTTTAATATAAGCATTATTCTATTTTCACTACAAAATACAATTTTATTCCACCCAATAGTTTCCGAGATGCATAAGCAACTCGAATGATTTTCATTGGTTTGACATTATCCAATGAGAAATAATCGACATAATAGTTTCACCAATATTTGTTTTTTCGTACGTTCGTGACTTGAAAACATCTCGATACTTTTGGTGATTTTTTTAGACAAATTGCTTTAAAAAAATGTTGTCTGCAAGCAGTCGATGTCTATCTCTCAGTTCAATTCCTCGAGCAAATGCATTAGCTATTATCCGCCAAGCATCGTCACATTCAAGCAAAAATAAAGAACCAGTTGCTGTATCAACACCAACTGGTTCAGTTGGAGATCCCAGTCAATCACCTATGAGCCAGCGAGCTTTACCTCCGGATGATGGCAAAGTTCGTACGTGATCATTAAGCTTTCATTTGTTTATGGCTAGAATAAAAGCAATACATTTTATCTTGCAGGTTTTCCTAATCCATGGGATGTTATTCTTAATAAACGTCGTTTTGAATATGCAATGGTTCGAGAATTATTCTTATGTTATAAATTAGTTAAAAAATGAATGCTTTTCTTTTAGAAATTCAAAGGATATGATGATCCGTTTGACATGATGCCAGTCAAACGTGTTGAAAATAGTTCACCAGAAAATCCAAATTTATTACCAAGCTGTAATGATAAACGACTTATGGCTTGTATTTGTAAGTTTATATTATCTTCTCTTGAGACATATATATATATTAGAAACACGTTTCTTTTTCATTTTAACCAAATAGGTAACGAAGATGTCTATCACTTGAAATGGATGCATCTTCATCGTGGTGAACCAAAACGATGTTACTGCGGTAGGAATTTATATTTTGACTAACATGTTAAGTAATTCTTCTTTACTACAGGTCATTGGTTCAAATTAACTGAACGACAATTTGTTGATTTAAGTGATTTTGGTATTACAGAAGAAATGCAGAAACCAGCTGCCCATTAAAATTTATCCTTTCTCTCTTAAACATAGACTCTTGTAGTTCTTTTCTCTATCATTTTTTTTTCATTTCCACTGGTATGTTTTTTTTTCGTCCATCATGATCATCTAGCTAATTTCAAAGAAAACAAAGAACAAAACGAATACTATTCTTTGTTCGTTCCAGATATGTCTGATTATCAATTGAGCAATGAAGATCATGAAGCATTGGAAAAATTTACAAAATTTTTCTTAGTGAAAGCAGCACAAATTATTGTACAATCGCGATTAGGTGAAAAGAAAACAACTAAATCGAAACCTGTTTGTTCTGGAAATGAATGGGTAAATTATTTAATAAATGAAATTTTTTCGAAAAATTTAAAACTTTTCTGTTCTTTTTTTTTCTTCCCGAAGTTTCATCTTTCGATTAAAGACATTCCAGAAGTCACTGTAAATGCCAAAAAATGTTTAGCCGATGCACAGCATCTTCTCATTAATAGTCCTCACAGTCCGTTTTGTGTTGAAATATCATTACGGACACCAGAAAGTCAAACAATCACATTAGAAACATGGTGTATATCTTTCGATGATTCAACTTCAGATCCAGCACAACGTGTTCGCTTTAATATTTATAATCGTATGAGTATTGTTCTGCGATCATTACTTACGTGTACACGTGCAACACCAACATATCAACTATCACGAAAACAATCAGCTGATAAATACATTATTTGTTATAAAATGTACAGTGGTGAACCAATAGTTGGTCATCTTGGTGAGCATTACTCGAAAAAAACGATAGGAAACATAATAACACCGATTGGACGTTTTGTCATAAATGTTGCCTATCGAACACGTTTAACAATGTCATCGACGCCCAATGATAATGGAACAGCTACAGCTTTTGCAGATTTCGTTCTGGATATAAAGTATGATCATTTTTCATCAGAGAAAAATCAACATTACCCTGAAGAGTAAGATTTCTAAAAGACCTCGAAATTGTATTGATTTCAAAGATACTATAGAGATAATGATGCTCAATTACCATCAATACAAAATGCAAGTGTACCAAAAAGTTCGCCTATTGAAGTTATGAAACGAAGGCATACCAGTAGTGATTCTGTTTCTTCAAGTCATGGGTAAATTTTAAAAACAAAAACAAAAAATTAGTTTATGCTTAAATTTTCCATTGTCTTGTTTCGTTTTTAAGAACACCAGACAAAGTTCATTACCGTACGCTGCGTGCTGCCTTTGCAACACCTGCTACGATTACAAATGCTTCAACACATCCAAGTTCATATTCTCGTATCAATGATAACGATCTACCATATGCACTTATGATGCAACCGCAACAATCTATGGAACAAGAACAACATTCAAAACATAACTTTTATATTAGTGGTGATTTCGAAAATGAAACAGCACCTGATGATTTCATTCTTGTTGAGGTAAAACCATTCTTTGGTAAAAGTGATTCAACAGATGATCTAGCCTTATTTATTCGCTCGTGTCAACAGCCACCCATACTTGAATCATTTGTTGTTGAGCCATCACTTGGTGAAACAATCAATCAATTAAATGAAGAACTACGCGTATTTGAATCTAAAGTTGAAGAATTTGATCAACTTGTTAGTACATTATCGACTGCAGAATAATAAGATGTATTTATTCAAGATTTTCATAACACAAATCAACAGTGCTTTCGAACAATGAATCCTTTCCTTTCTTTCTGTACAGCGGAATCGAAAAAAAACATTACTTAATTGTAAATAAGGGTCTCCATTTTGTTTGTTTTTGTATGCGGACTTGTTTCAACGAATATTTTAAGAGAAAAAGAGCATATGATAGCACCGTTCTTTTAATATTATTTATTTACTCTGTTTTATATGTATTATGCTAAAGTTACCATTCTAGCAAACGTGTATAGATTTGCTCAATGTAATTTCCCTTCGTTTTTTTTTCTTTATTGAAAAATAATTAATATTTAAGTTTGAAATTATTCTACAGTGAAATTACAAATATTATTTGATTGTGTACAAGAATGAAATGAGACAACAAAGTTTTGTGTCGTAATATGAAATATGTTATCAATTTAGATTTACAGCATGAATAAAAAATATTTTGCTGGTAGATATTTTTATACGACGAATCATAGGGAATATTAATCGTAAAACTATGATAGAATGGATGATTTTTGCCTCATCATATATATACTTTCATGATGTGTGTTCTTATCTTGATTGGATTTCTTGAAGCATATAATGATAAATTTTCATATTTACTTCATGTTAATCAGCAAGAAAATTTTCGCTCGATCTGGTGGAATTTCTTAACTGATATAAAGTAAAATATGATTAGCTAAGCAACGAGGCTCATACAAATAACAAACAACATTTTGCCTTCAAAGAATCTTTTTGATTTAACAACGATTTTTCGAAATAACTATATCAGTAAAATTGAACGCACCCGTGGTACAACAGTTTGAGACCTATGCAAAATGTGTCAGAATGTTTGACACGATCACAACTAATCATAGAAGATTTTCGAACAACAAAAGCATATAAATCTTAGAAATTACATATTTTTCTCGGCTAAGAATATTTTTCTATGTCACATAAAATAATAATCTGAATCAGCACAAGAAACTTTTGCGAACAATATTCGATACTATTATTTCACTATCGAATCGTAGCGATCAGAATAAATATTAATCCTTTGCGGTACTAACTCAATTCCATCTGACAAAATTGCATTTGATGCATTGAAGCGAATAGTTTAGTGGTGACTATAAATCTCATGAGATCTTCAACAATCGAGTACAAACAATGACGAAAAGAACGCAGCCGTCTCAGAAAAAGAACTTTGCTTTAAAACGTGTAATCTTTTTTTAAAATGACAACATAATTTTTTTATTGAAATATGGCTTGCTGATTTATCAAGGACGAATAAAAGACAGCAAAAATATCAAAATCATAGGCACGAAAAATTTATCCATTTCGTGTTAGAATTGGTTCCCGTACGAAGAAAATAATCGATGCAGCTATCATACTTATAAGATAAAATATAAAACAAATTCGATCAACAATAATAGCTAAAATTTTCCATTCTTCATATATATCATGTAAAGCTTGTGTATGAATATTTTGTTTTCTTGCATGTATTGTTAATAGTAATCGCTGACATTCAAGAATTTCATGTAGAATAGATACTTTTAAATTTTCATCATCAATTTTAGTTGGATCAAATTGCGTTTGCATTTTAAGTAATATTTGTTCAAGATTATATGTTACTGAATTTTGTTGAAGTGTTGTATTTATTACTTCTTCATTAGAATCCTCGATTGATGTAGTCATATTTATAACAGATAATTTTAATTGAGTATCATTTGTTTTACGACGAATATTACCATTTGTATTCTCTTGATGAATTACAGATTTCTTTGTAGAAATACTCTGCTGAGGAAGATTAAAATCAAAACCAAGCCAAGGACCAATTTTGCCGATTACTATACGACGGCACCATTGAGGTACACGTGATTTTTTAGGCCCACGATAATGAAAATTAAGAACAACGACAGTAAGAACAACAGAAATAAGTACTAATATTAGATTGACATTAAAATAAATGCCTAGAAGTAATGGATTCATTATTTACAATGATCAAACTATATCTATTTACCAATAAGTGGAAGACTTGAGGAAGCTTTCGGTGTATAATTTGATATGAGTTGAAGAAAAACTGTTAATGCAAGAAGAATAGTTATTGTTAGCGTTATTTTTTCACCTGAATCAGGCGGAAGCCAAAAAACAAATAATGTTAAACAAGATAGTATTGAAAATGGAAATATCATATGATTGACATAAAATTGATAATTGCGTTTCATATTTATATGAAAAACAAGCCATAAATAACGTTTCACCGAAGCATTCCGTACAGCTATATCATAAACATGCCATTCAGTACGAATATATTGCTTTTGTTGACGTAGATTCTGTGGTTGATGGCGAACTAATAGTTCACTCGAGGGTCGTGACCAAGATTGAATTTCCAGCGTACAATTTTGCTTATCTAATCAAAAAAAGAAAATTTTCAATTCATAGAAACAAAAACAAATTTTTCGGATTTCGTTCTCTTTTATACCAAAAGGGAAATAAGTAATAACAACATCACAATAAGATCGAAATACATCAGGAAAAACCCATTCAACTGTTCCATTCCAATGAACAATTAATAGATAATATTCACGTTGTTGAGAATAAGCAACTTCAGCTGAATTAAATAATACAATATCGGGTGTCCATATTTCATTTGCAGAGAAAACAGTACGATTTTGATAATTATATTCACTTGGTAACCAATGTAAATGTTCATCTTGCCATTTTAATGTAACTTGAACATTGGTTGTCATTACTTGGTTTTGTTCATCCTTAAGAAAAATTATCATATTAAAATCTATTTAACAGACATAATTTACTTACTAAGCCCATGACTTGAATAATCGTTACGTCAACGTCAACTATAGTCACAGTTGTTGTATTTATTACTGGCCGAGCTTCAGGAACATAATGATCAAGTAAAATTGACCGTAGACGAGACTCATCTGAACTGAATTGGAATCCTAAATTGTATGATGACATTTCATATTCTTCACAACTGTTTAGTCCGAAAATAATTATAACTAAGTATACTGTTTTATTAATTGTGTAAACCACTCAGACGAGCCGCTATCATGAAGATTCACCAAGAGTCACTTAGCACTTTCTATCTTATGATTCTATATTACTGTCTCTTTTCGGTATTGTCATATGTTTTGAGAGATTGTCAAAGCATTACCAATATTAACATCAACATATGTTATTAAGTAAAAAGCGAACTATTTACAAAACAAATTCTTTCACAACAAAGTCGATTCAACGCTGAAATCTAAAATTTACATTCATTCGCTAGACTCAATATATGAATAGAAAATAATTGTACTGAAAATTCGCTAATAAACTATAATTATTTTTCAAGGATAATCGATCATAAGCGAAACATGTTATCTTATGTACTGACATTATATTGTCTTCTTGCTATACGATCGTCATTTCATTTTTTTCTTTTTTGAACTTAGTAATATCATTTTTCTATCTATTTATGCATTCATATTGATCACAAGGCTAGCATGACCAATTAATGTACTAATGCTCATCATGATTTACATCGTGAACACAAATTTTATCTAAGGAAAAAATAAAATATAGACTATCGATTAGATAATTAAAGACTGATTTGAGACGTTTTAGAGCTATTTCATATATGTTGTTAATATTCCCACAGGCTACGTAGATGTAATTATCAGTTTTTAAGCATATGCACTTATTGATTTCTAAACATTTTACTTTAAATAACTACGGCCTGAAATACACTAGATAGAAAATTCAACCGCTTCGATTTGTAACATCCACAAAAAATAAATAATTAATAATTAAATTTCGAAGTAGAAAACGTTCAAGTCATATTTATTAGAAAATAAAATTAACTTTGAACTTACTTTTATCATCTAGATCTGGAACATCATCATCATATCCAACTTTCTTATTTCGCCCAACTCCACCTTTGGACTTTTCTATTCTTGGGCTTTTAAATTTCATAGAACTACTAACTAAAGCTGATGTGCCTGTTGATATGTGAGTGTAAGCATCAAATATATAATGTAGAAAAATGATTAATAATTGAAATGAAATATTCAAATGCATTATTCTTTAAAATAATGGATTTCATGTAATGTCACAATTTCATTTCGATGATGTTCAATAAGTGTTAATCCATTGATGCTCTCTGTCAATTATAGTAGTTTTATCTTCCATCGTTCACATTTTCTTATTTTGAGCTAGGAATGGAGAAGGAAACGTTCCTGAAATCTATTAATGATCGTAGAATGCATGAACGATTCAACTACATGAAGGAAAAGACAGATAGTTAGATAGAGAGAGATGGAAGAGAGGCACAGTGGGAGGAAAAGAGAAAAAAGTTAATTTAGTACTTGACACTCAATTTCTCTACGTGTTGTTATGTCTTCGTTCTCGATTCCTACGCTATATCATGCGTGTGTGTGACAAAAAAAATGATGATAATCATGATGACGACAGTGACAGCAGTGAACAAGAAGAAAAAAAATTGTGTTGCTGAAATCCAAGACTGGACCAGAGAACAAAAATACAAAAAAAAAGAAACAGAACAGGATAGATCGAGTTAGCGAATATTTTCGATCGCTTGGTATAACAAATAGAAAACAACCACACATCTTTTTAAGGGAAAGAAAAACGAAAAATCATTTTTACAACTACAACAACATTTGCTTTATGATGATCTTTAACAACGTTTCAGTCATTCACAATGATCATACTCTATGAAAACAAAACAAAAGAAGAACAACAATATTTGTTTTCATTGATATTAGAAAAGGTTTTTTAACTACTGCGTAGTTGATTAGTTTGTATTGCTGATTGAATTATGAATGTTATATGTCAAGTTGAATTAAATCCTTCTATTTATGATTTATATCAGTATTTTATGATTGAAAAATAAAATTGAGCATACAATAAATTTTTAAATCCAATCACTACTAAGAACTTGTTCGAGAATTCATAAATGCATTATAAACAAAATGCCAATTCAACTATATGTCACTTCAAATATTAATATTAATAAAGAATGAATATTGAATTTCTGTTTCTTTTTATTACTTTCATTTTCTCTGAAATAATGATCAAAAAACAAAAAAAGCAAAAATGAATCGTACACGGCAAATAGTTCTAAAGCAAAACAACAGTAAACAAAACAAAAACAGTAAGAAATTCTTTTGAAATATAATTTATATCGATCGCTCTGTTGATGTTTGTTCATTTTGAGTTCTTGAAGATTGCTGCTGTTCAGTACTGTTTATTGATAGATCATCAACAGCGAGTTTAGTTTCCATTAGATTACTATTATTTTCAATAGTTAAACTCATTGGCACTTTTGATTCAAGCTTAGCGATAACTGTTTGTACATTTCGAATCATTTCTTTACGTTTTTCTTTTATATCGACGCTAACATCAGTTAATTCATCACAAGTTAGCATCATTTTTACTGCTTGTTCATCAAGCAATTTATATATACGATCATCACGTGTCACACCATCAAATGCATCGACTTGCTGATTTAAATCAACTAAATTTTGTTTAATTTGTTCAAGTTTTTCTAAAGCAATTGTATTGGAATCACGTGAAGGAACTGGTTGTATATTCGCTGCTGCAGGCATTTCAGTAGATGGAACTTGTTGATCACTCGACGATGAAGTAGTGCTCTGTCCTGCCATTGTACTAGTCGTATCTTTCGTCGTTTTAAAATCGGACTCTTGAGGTTGTTGGGCGTTTAATGGTGAAGGTCGAGTCGGTGATTCATCACGGTCAGAAGCTGGCGATCCAGATCGATCATGTGCTATTTTTGAAAAAAAAATAAACAAAATGTAAAGATAGAAAATTTTGTCAATAACAAACAATTAAAAATTACAAATTTTCGATTCGGTTTTATTCGAATTTAATCAAACCTTTTCTTTTTCTTGAAGTACTATTTGTTAAACCCATTTCTTTTTGCTGACAAATTTTTGTTTTGTAAACATTCATGTGCATTTAACAGTCATGTTTTGCGCGCTCCTGCCTCGAAGATGGAGCATTATATTACATGAAAAACTGTTCTTTCATTTGTCGCTTTCTTTCCTTTTTCTCTTGTCGTTCTGTCTTTCGTTCTTTATCTTATTCTATTATTGTCTGTCTTTTTTTGCGTGTTCTGCCATATCTCTGACTAATCAAAAACGAACGAACAGCAGTTGGAAGACACTGCTGCCTTCATCAGTTGTACGCGTACAAGATACATTTTGTATGTATATGTGTGCTGATCTTCTATGTCTTATGTTGATGTCATCTACCTGACCATGAAGATTGACATTGACATGTATAGTAAACATAGTGTTCGTGTAGATTTTTTTTTCCTGAAATTTCTAACAACTACATTGTTGTTGATAGTTTTGCTGAGGAAAAAAGAAATAAAAATGTATTTTATAATGAAAAGCATTTATACTCTTCAAACCTACAAGCAAAATATTTGCTTAGTCTATTCTTAGAAGAAACTGAAACGAAAATATTTTCAAAAATAAATTTGATACAAATATAGATTTTGCGAACCTACACAACATAAGTAACTTACAATTATTGGCTGTTTCTTGAAATTTACTTGATTGATGATTATTTATTGGTATATGATATTCACTGGAATAAACAGTTTTGGGATTGATATTTGCTCGAGTAATATAAGTCGGTCTATAATAAGTTTGATGTTCAGATGGATTTTGTTGATCGATATCTGAAACATCATTAAGCACATCAAAGGAGGATCGCCGAAAAGAATTTGTGTATGTATTCGGATGTATAAAATCTGAATCAGTTCGAAATCCGTTATTTGATGTTTCAGGATAATAGGAAGTATTTGAAGATTGAGTTTTCGGACGTATGGAATCATTTGACGATGAAAGAAGATCGTCACTTGAACGACTTGTGTGTAGAGAACTTGAATCATATGTTCGTTTTTGTAAAGGACGATATTGTTGATCACGATATGATTGATGCAACGGAGAATCATTTATCAAACGATCATATGCAGTGCTGAGAGTTTGACGTGGTTGAAGTCGACTTCGGTAATGCGTATTTATCGATGGCTTCTTCCATGGTGGTGAATTTGAAAAATCAGTATGAAAACTATCCTCATAACGAGCCGTGCGATTTGGAGAATCATAAAAATTTGAGTTGCTTAAGTTCGATCTAGAAACTATTTCCACGGGAATTGATATAAACTGAAACAAGTAAGAGGTTAAATTGAGTTCTTTTAATAGAATTGAAATAACTTACGCCAGTTGAATGGCCAGCACTATTTGTTGAAGTCATCAATATATTGATTATTTATTTGAATATTGTAAAATTGAACAATCTAAAGTACAAAGTCGATGGTATCCATTATTTATAAGTATAACACAATGCAGTAATAACTTAAAATAATATTCTATCAAACAAAGTGATCTGCATCTCTTCTTATTATATAGTAGAAGAGCGAGCGACACAGAGAAAAATATAGAAGATTGCCATTCTTTTTATTTCTTACCCTCAACCGCCTCCTCACATCTTAATGTTGCGAAAACTTCTATTATTTTGTTTTGTATCATCTTCTCCACATTCCTTTTTAATGCGTCAACCGACAAAAAGCACACACCATGTGATAAAGTTTATCAGTCACCGTAATATTAAATGTCGTAATGAAAAACAACAAAAAAACATGAATTTTCGTTCTTTTATCTCATAAAAACATTGATTCATATCTTATTTCTTTACCTTTTTATATGCACAAGGAACAAGCCAAATTCCCTACGCAAAATGTGATTACTACCTTGCAGGAATAAAGTCTAATATTTGAAGATTTATAATTGAAATTCTTTGAATTCCATTCTTCTACATTCACTGAAAAAATCATACGTAAAAAAGAAGAATTATTGTACGAGTCAGTGCGAACCCTGCATTACTTATGCCATTTTATCAATAATATTGTATACATAATAGAAGTGCCCCTTCTCGATGCATAACAGCCGTATAATACAAAGGACTGTTGATGTTCAATGTTCGTAACCAGCTATCCCATTATCTCACTTATTGATGCAGACAGAGAAAAGAATATACATTAAATCTCTACAACAAACTGTTACCTTCTGATTGTGTATTTATGTGATGTAATACCAAACTCAATACAAGTACATAAATATATATATATATATATATATATTGTAGGGCAGATTGAAATTCAGTTCAGATTAAAATAACTTCTATTTCAACAAAGAAATTTTTAAACTGAACTAGTTCAGATCAAAATTATTTTAATCTGAACTGAATTTCAATCTATCCTACGATATATATATCTATATTTATTCAGTGAAATAATCAGGCTTTTTTCTCTCAAACTATTCGAATAATAATCAACATTGACTGTCCTTTTTTAGACTCACCTATCAATTATTTTATCCTTAGGGGAAGTTTATTTGTCGTGTTTATAAGTATAAGGACAAGTCCTGTTCTCTCTCGTCCTATATATGTTGTTAATCTTGTGTTGCTTTTTAATTGAAAATCAAAATGACACCTGTCTTTATATTGTCATCATCAACAACAAACTATCAATTTACGTTCGAACAAATATTTTACGCACATACAAAAAATATCGACGAAAACAAATTATACTCATATAAGAACTATAATATCCCCGTTGAATATATGTATTTTCATAGTAAGCACTAAAGACATTTAATTCATTCTCTTTCTACATGTATTCATCGATATCATAATCACAATCAAAAACACAAAAAAAAACAAAATGTAATATCAATATGATAGGCATCATATGTTGTTCTGTGAACTTCTTTTCATACATTTTCTAAACGTTTTTATCCTTTGGAGAATATTCGACGATCAAGAATAAGCATAGCAAGAAAATAAAAACACGAACAAGAATAAACCTTGTTTGATATATTGGCTAAATACAACAGTGAAAAGAAAAAAAAACAAGAAATCGTTAAAAAAAAGTAACATATCGGAGAGAACAAACTAAACAGATACACTGTTTTTCATGGATTTAGTTTTCGTCCTTCAAGCAATGCTTTGACTTCTTCAGCTGAGAGTGTTTCATAATGAAGTAGAGCCTCAGCAAGAATTTTAAGTTCATGTGAGTGTTGTTTCAATAATGCTTTTGCACGATCGTACGATTCCTTGAAAACAAAATAACAAAAATACAATTAATTTCATCAAAATAAATCTTTACCTGCATGAGTCGTTTGATTTCTAAATCAATTACTTCTTGCATTGAAGGACTTACACCGTTAACACGGACAAAACCTAAACCGGCATCTTGCTCTTCTTCTCGAAACGATCTTGTACCGACTTTCTCTGACATACCGAATTGTTTCACCTATATTAGAAAAGAGAAAATCGAAAATCATCTGATAAAAACTTGCTAGTATAACCTCTTAAGAACTAAACTATAAAAGCTATATTTTGCTTTTGTTAATTTCATCAGACTATTAGAAAATATGTTAAATAAAATATTTCTAACAAATGTTAGCTGTTTTTCAAGGCTAATCAAGGACTAGTGTTTGATTGTTTTGTTGTTCTTCACTCCATATGTTTTCATTTTCTTCATTTAGCATTATTATTGATTTAACTGACAAATAAACTTCTTATGCATATCTATTACATGTATAGCAAGTCTCAACGCACTATGACATAACTCGATAAGATCAGAAATACTGATATTAATTGTTACCCACAGTTATAAATAGATTAGTTCACACTTTCTATGTAGATCATATGGCGTCTGTGGCAACTCAATGCAGCATTCTACGTCATCCTTGACATCTGGATTATAATTGTTGGGCTGTACAGAATCAAACAGTAAACTATTCAGAATATTTCTAAGTTTATTCATGGTCTGAATAAGACTTTGGAATGTCTTGGAGAAACTTAACTACTATCCAAAATACGTTTGTCAATTGCTAAGAAACTTCAAGAAAGAAATCGAACGCCTATTATCCTTAGTTTGTCAAGAAACATATTTAGAAAACTTGAATCTTTCCCAGTTCGCACACATTACTATGTAAAACATTATAATTCTCAGATGATATTTGACCCACATTGACATGAGTGAAGACCCGTAAAGCCTCGAATTTAAGCTTACGATATAATCTTCGAAAAACATATAATTTGAGCTTTAATAAATAGAAAAATTAAGAATGATTAAGTTACCATGTTTGTCGCAAGTTTCGTTGCTTGGTTAAAATCGCTAGCTGCACCTGTAGTTATTTTATCCATTCCAAATATTTGCTCTTCAGCAGCACGTCCACCCATCATAACATCCATTTCAGCTAACAATTGTGATTTTGTTCGATTGTACATTTCTTTACTTGGAATATGTGCTGTAAAGCCAAGTGCTTGTCCACGTGGAACTATTGTTACTTTATGTAACGGATCCGCATCATGGTTGAAATAACGAACAATAGTATGGCCAGCTTCATGATAAGCTGTTATATTATTCGTCTCATGATCAGGTATTTTAGATTTTTTAGCTGGACCCATAAGAACTTTATCACGAGCATGCTCCAAATGTTTCATATCTACTGCTGGTGCATCTATTTGAGCAGCATAAAGTGCAGCCTAGACACAGAGAGAAAACAAGGAATAGATTATTAGGTATTGTTTTTTTTGTGGAAATATAGAAACATACTTGATTAACCATATTTTCAATGTCAGCTCCAGTAAACCCGGTTGTGCCTTTAGCTAAATATTCCATGTCAATATTTCGATCATATGTTACTTTCGATAGATAGAGTTCAAAGATTTCTGTTCGACCACGAAGATCAGGTGGTGATATATGTATTTCAGAATCAAAGCGACCTGGTCGTAACAATGCTGAATCGAGATAATCACGACGATTCGTTGCAGCCAGTATAATGATTCCTTCGTTTTTTTCAAATCTAAATTTAGAATGTTTCATAAAAAACAAAATCAAAAAGTTTTTCAACTAAATTAATTTTACCCATCCATTTCAGCGAGAAGTTGATTGATTGTTTGATTTGCATATGGATGTAATTGTGAACTTGATCGTTTAGCACCGACTGAATCAATTTCATCGATAAATATAACGCATGGTGCACGAGCTTTAGCAGCAGCTATAATTAATTATTTGTTCAGTTTTTGGTTGAGCTTTTGTTCTAACATAAATATGAGAAACTTACTGAATAATTGACGTACACGACGAGCACCAGTACCAACAAACATTTCGTCAAATTCTGAGCCAGATGTATGAAAAAATGGTACACCAGCTTCACCAGCAACAGCTCGAGCCAAAAGTGTTTTACCTGAAGTTAAATATGCACGTTAGCAATAAAATAAAACGGTAAGCAAAAATAAATACCGATGCCAGGTGAACCGACAAGAAGTACACCTTTAGGAAGTCGAGCACCTAATTTCGTATATCTTTCTGGTTCCTTGAGATATGTTACTATATCCATTAGTTCATCTTTTGCTTCTTCAGCCTAATGAATAAGTAAAAGAAAATGTTTTCGATTTAAAAAATAAACAAAAATAAATTTCTTACGCCTCGAACATCAGCAAAATTGACTTTAATTTCTTCGGGATTAATCTCATATTTACTAGCAGTTGAAAAAGGATTTGCAAATCCACCACGTACACTGTCTAAGAAAAATTTATTTTAAATAAAATTCATTCAGGTGGCAAGACATAAATACATACCACTACCACCAAGGGCAGAAATAATATTCAAAATAAGCATAATCAAAATACCATAAAATAATATAACACGTATAGCTTTAAATAATGATGGACGTTCTTTTGGTTTCAATTCATTACCAGCAGCTGTCACATAACCTATAAAATATTTCTTAATTATAAAAATTAAATATAATTAAATATTGACCTTCAGCAAATGCAACTTTTATTTTTTGTTGTTCATCAATATTGGTTGTTGCTTGTAAAAGATCTTGAAGACGTTTACCATCCGTAGTTTGCGATGAAGAACTACCACGATTATAATATTGCATAAACTGAACAAAATAGGCGAATATAAAATAGAGAGAGAGAGAGAGAGGCAACCTAATGAGAATATTTACTCGATTGACAAAAGCTGTTAATGGGGGTTCATTTTGTTGTTGCGAATGTCTTCCACTTGTACCGGCTGCTAATCGATATCCATCAAATTCAGTTGCGATTCGAGACGAACCTGACGATGTACTACTACTAGCACCACCAACACCAGGTGAACCTGAATGTCGTGTTTTAAATCCACGAACTTGATTGTAGACTAAAAGAATAATTAAAAGCATACTTATCATTTTATGATAATACAAAGAAAATATTTACTTAAACTTTCGACTTTTAATAAATCTTGATGAGTGATATGCTGCGTAATACCAGCTCGACACGAAAGGCAGGATGTCGAAGATAATGGTACAGCAGATAAATTTTGAAATTCTTTTAGAAAGAAAAAAATTACAGTACGATATTTTAGGGAAATATAAGATAGTTGATAAAAAAAAAGTTATTTGACATAGATAACAAATCACTATTGTAAACTATTACTATTGAATGAGAGTCTTGTTGAATTTTACTACTAGCAATGAAAAGAATTCTCAGTCTTTCTTCAATTAGAAAAAACAATAGATAAAGTTGAAAGATTGTTCATATTTTCATTGAACTCAATACTGTATATTCTGCATATGATTCTTCCGTCATTGAGAGAAAAAACTAGCTGTAAGATATTCAATAATTTTATTGTCTAGTAACTACTATGTATGATCAATTCTATTGTTGATACCTTCTTTTGATATTCCATTTAGTATTGATCCAATATTAACATTGAACGCTTGTTGTGTTGCTACAATAACATTTTGATCAATTTCACGCTAATATAAAACGAAAAACATTAATTTGATATATTTAATAGAATTTTTCATATCTAACTCTTGAATGTCGTATTTGTTTTGTTTTTGCTTTCGTTGAAAATTGTTTTAATGCTTGACCCGTTATTGATTGTAAGCTTCGTGGTAAATAAAGTATTGATTGTACGAAAAATGAAGTACACTGAGAACAGAGCTATTAGAGTACACAAATAAATATTGAAATAAATATTCGTTGCAATATTTGATATCTTACATTTGTTGGAGTTAATAAAGCATTCATCTGCAATACATAGATGTGTATATTATAAAACATATTCAACTGGCTTTTATTTATTGGTTGTATTATGTTCTTGTTGAACACATAAACATCGTAGGACAAAAAAAAAATACATATAAATAAATGAGGCAAACACAAAAACAGATACAATCGTGCAAAGAAATTAGAAAAGTCTATTTTTTGTTTGTTTTTATACACAGACTAGTTCACATAAGTTCAACAAGGTCATCTGTTTCAAATAATGCTTCATCTATAAACGCAAACGTATCAACAACATCAGTAGGTTCATCAAGTTCAAGTAATTTATTTTCATCTTCATCGTTAAGAATCGTTGATGGTTGAATCGGAGATGTCTTATTGACCGGAGTTGGTTCGACTGGTTTTGATAAAACTGGAGGTAAATTATTGACTGCGGGTGGTGGCGGACGTTGTATAGAAACTTTTGGTGTCTGTCGAGGTCGTTGTGGAATTGATGAATAACGAGGAGTTGTTGGTCTATGCAGTGAAAGTAGTGGTGGTATAAAACGTGGACGTAGAGAGAGAAGTGGCACCGGTTGAAATGAACTTGGAATTGAAGGTACAAAAGGTTTTGGTTGAGTAGTTTTAGCAAGAAATTCATCAACTTGTCTTTTCCAAGCGGAATCATCCATCGATAGTTTTGTTGAGTAATTAACACGTGGAGGAGATTTTCTTTGCGATGGTGATGATGATGAGGAGGAGGAGGATCCCGATGAAGATGATGATGATGATCGCCGTCGATGACGATCAGATTTTCGACGAGGATTTGATGGTTGTAGGCATAAATCATCTATAGTTGCTGTATTATGGTGATGATGATGTTTATTATTATTATTATTATTATTATTTTCTTGTTGACCCGAACGACGTTTTAATGGTGGATCATCATTGACTGATGATTCTGGCATTTGACGTTTACGTTCATTGGTTGATACTGTGACAACATTACGTGCTGATATGGATGATGGTGTATTAATTAAAGATCGAGGTGATGGACTTGATTTGTTCTTGAAACGTCTATAAAAAAGAAGCATATTCAATTATAATTTGACAAGAATGACTCGACTTGTGATTTACTCAATACGGCTTGTTCGACGTTCATCATCTTGTGTTAGTTCTGTTCCTAGAATGATTCGAATGAACGATTACATGAAACTCTCGCAAAAGAAAAAGAAAAACAAGGTACGGCACCATGACGATATACAATAACAAATGATTGTTATTAGTCTAGTTCATCTCATCTCAAAAAAAAAAATAAACATTAACAAAATATAAAACTGATGGTTTTTACTTTGTTAATCCCTATCTATTCTCACTGAAAAATACATGAGATAAAAAGAAAGATAATCGGGGAAGACGAATAGAGTTTATTTAGATGCTGTTGTAAATAATTGATTGTTAAGAAATGGAAATTCAGATGTATAAATGTTATGCCAATACACGTACCCGCAGATGTCTGAAAAAAACGCATATTTATTTTAAAGAAGAGAAAAATCATTATCTTATATTTACTTTTTCTCCGTTTGTTGATGTTGAACTTGATGAATTTGATATTGTAATTTTAGCTGCAGGCAAACGATCACGGTTCAATCGAATTGGTTTTGTATCATTCGTTGGAGTTATTGGTGTATTAGACGTTAAAAAACGATTAGTAATTGATGGAGCTGCACATGGAAATGAAATATCAATCACAGAATTCACTATAAAAAGCAAAAAACGAGCGTAATTAAAATAAAATTTTTGTTTTCATAGTTTACATTTTTTCATATTATTGTTGTCTTCTTGAATAAGATCGTCTAGATCACGATCACTATCACTATCATTATTATTTATTATTCTCTTTGACGCATTGATTGCATCAGATGAAACCACAACTCGATTTGTTGTTGCTTGTACTATTTTTCGATTTGAAGAGTCAGCTATAACAACATTTCGATTACCAACAACTCGTGATTGCGTTGTAGTAGATTTTGTCTCTTCTGAAGAATTTGTTACAACATTACGACTTGAAATTTCTATCTGTTCATTTTCTGTTGAAATTGCTGTGCGGCATGGCGTAGTTTCATTTGAAATAGGTGTTGTAGGTGTTTCGGATTGCAGTAGAACTTCAACTTTCGGTATTGAACTTTGAGATGAATCTATTTGTGAACTAGGTATTGAACCATTGGTTGATGCTACTGCTGCTATTGTAGGTATATTAGTAGGACTTGAAGGAAGATTTGCGCTAGTTGTTGATTTAATAACGTCTTTATTAACAAGATTTGTCGATGAAGCTAAATAAAAAATAAATAATTAGAACTACTTTTTTCGAAGAATAAGAGTTTTATCTTACACCGAATAGCTGAAGAGTTTCTTGATGTTGGACGATGACGTATATGTGCAAATGTACAATCAAGTTTGAGACAACCCATATGTGTATTTTCATAATAACATGATTTTGCAGTATTTACCGCTGGACTCTACAGAAAACAAAATATTTATATTATAAACCTTCGAATAAGTAATTTTGTTGGAATATCTACTTGAATAGGACTATGACGAAGTTGACAAGCTGAATCTATGCAACTTCCACGTAACCAAGCTGGACACATAGCATTACATGTTAAAACTGTGGAATTATGTCTATAACTGCATGTCGAACCCTAAATATAAAGTTTTGTTTTTTCATTAGTTAGATTTCGTGGGAAACACAAGTTTCGTTGTTTACTTTTGCACAGGATGATGTTAGAAAATAATAACAATCATCATTTGATTTCTGCATAATTTTAATTTGCTAAAATCTAGAAAGAAAATTAAATATTTCACTATTAACAGTTTAGTTTCGACAAGAATATGTATGTATGTATGTTTACTAAAACAGCTTCATTCATTCCTATATTTTATACGCCAATTATAAATAAGTTTTATGTGTGGCTCCATCTTTTCAATCGAAAATTTTATAGTTTTATAAAAAAATTCTTTTATTTTTTTCTTGAATAGAATGAATAAATTTGAAATTCAGTTTAAACATCGATATAATTAATAGATATGTTCGTTTTTCTATTTACTTGTTGACGTATGAAAGCAATAACGTGTATTTTTTTGCTTCTTCCATATGATTTCTACAGGTAAAAAAAATCATTATTGGTACTCTATTACTTTTTTAAAGGCCATTCGATTTACCAAATTATTCTGTTTTTCTTTCAAGATTACTCTTCGTTATTTTTTATATGAATTTTGCTATTCTCAATATCATATATAAACAGATCTTACTGTGATTTTGAGTGATTCTATTTTTTCTTTTTCCCAATTTGATTTTTTACCTAACCGAACAATATAAAGATGGATTATACATATGGACAATCAAATGATTATCCACTTCGGTATGAATAAATAAATAGAAATCTTCTCTCTATTGATTATTTCATTCAATAGAATTGTTGTGCCAAGCGATTCTGTTGGAGCTATAATTGGTAAACAAGGTTCAACAGTTAAACAAATAAAACAAACTGCGCGTGCAAAGTAAATTCTTTATTAGCGATACATTAGGTTTTTTTTGAAATTGTGAATCTATTCTAGAATTGATGTTAATAAAAATGAAGCATCAAATAGTCAAGAACGTGTCATTATTATTCGTGGTCAAGAAGAAAATTGTATACAAGCATGTCGAGAAATACTTCGAATTATGTATGAAGATGCGAAAAATAAAAATAAAACAAAGTAAATAGAATATTTCGTTGGGGTCTTTTCAGTAAAACATTTATGATATATTATTTTAAGTGAAATTATATTAAAAGTACTTGCACAAAATAATTTTATTGGCCGAATAATCGGTAAAGGTGGTAATATAATAAATGCAATTAAAAAAGAAACTGATACAAAGTTCGTTAGATTTTGTTTTGAAAATTAATTTTTCGAATTTTTCGTGTTCTGATTAGTATCACTGTTTCAAGTATCAATGAGTTAAACTCATATAATATTGAACGTATTATATCAATCAAAGGTGAATTCGATCAACAAATGTCAGCATTAGAAACAATTTTTAGCAAATTATGTTTGGCAAATGAGAGTGAGAATGCACGAGCATGGAATTATTCAGCACAATATTATCAACAGCAGCAAATGATGCAAAATTTCGCACAACATGCTGCTATGATAGCTACTGTAGGTTCTACAGGTCCACCATTATTACCTATAAATTATAGTCAACAACAGTCGATGGTTCATCAAACACAAACAAATAATAGTAATAATTCTTCGAATAAATTTATGGAGCAACAACCAAATCTAAGTACAATTTATCCATCATCTTATTATGTAAGTATGACGTACACAAAACAAACACATTTATGTTAGTCTAGAAACTATTACACGGAAGATGATGTAAATATTAATATGCTTTTAATGCGAAATCTTAAAACGTTTTTCATTCTTGTACTAAAAACCCAACAAATTCATAGTAAATCAATAACTTGATATCTAAACAACACGAATAAGGTCCCAAGTAGAAAATTTTAATAGACTAATTATCGATAAATCGTGAGACACAAAAATTTTATAATTGGACAAATTGACCTATATGATCCAAAATTTTGTCTGAAATAAATGCTCTTTTCTATACAATGATTGGCAGATTTTTATATATTTCTCAGACGACTAGAACATGTAGGACTCTATCTACGATATTAATAATATATTATGATAATAGTAAACATTTAAGGTTTTTTCTTATGCATAGCCAACAATGATTCCTACATCAGGTCCATTTTATTTGTCGTATCCATCAGCGAATTCAATTATTGCTTCTCAACCGAATCCATATGCTAATGGAAATCTTATGCAACAACAAGAACAGTTACAATTATTACAAAATATACCTGTCTCTATTGAAACTGTTCATTTATATGTGCCTAATACAGCTATTGGCGCTATTATTGGTGCTAAAGGTCTCTTTATAAAAAATATAATGAAGAGCTCAAATGCATCGGTTAAAGTAATTGAATTTGATTTATTTTAAATCAATAAATATGCTTTGCGTAGATTAATCCTGTAAGTCAAGACGAAGATTCAAGTAAAGTTTCGGAAAGACAAGTGACAATAACGGGAACACCTGAAGCTCAATGGAAAAGTCAATATTATATTTATGATAAAATTCGACAAGAAGGTTACATTTAGTTCTTTTTGCTAGATGAGTACACATGTAACTAATAACACAAACAAACCTCATTTTTCAGGTTATTTCGGCGAAGACTTAGTTCGACTTCGAGCTGAAATCAATGTGCCAACATTGTTAATTGGTCGTTTAGTTGGTAAAGGCGGACATAATGTAAAATAATATTGATTCATTATTTTTGATGAAGCAAATTTTATTAAATAGGTTCGTCAATTACAACAATCAACGGGTGCATTTATAAAATTACCCGATGATTCACAACAAACATCAGCTAGTGAAGTACCTGTTAAAATCTTTGGTCCTTTTCCAGCTAATCAAGTAATTTTTGGAAAAAAAATACTTTTTTTTAGAATCTATTGAAAATGTAAATACATTTAGTTTGCCCAACGACGTATTCAATCTATTATACAAATGAGTCGTGATTTAACAAATATATCAAAAGATGATAGTAATAATAATAATAATAATAATAATAATAATAATAATATTAGCAGTAACGAACAATTAAATGGTATGAATCTCAATGAAACATCGATAAGAGTGAATGAAAGTACAACAAGTGATGATGCCGTATTTACTTCAAGTACTTTGCCGAATACAGATGCTAGTGTGACAACAGTAGATGATCAAAACTAAAGATATGGATGAACAAAAGAATATAATTCGAACAAATATAGTGCAATAGAAGAAGGGCATGGTTACAATTTTTTTTAATAGCACTTACGTGTGCATGTACTTTGGCCAAAAAACCTCGGTGATAATGATCTCTCTTCTGCTTTTTTTTCTATTCGATCATCGTCGATGACCTGATCTGTGTGTACGTTTCGTTTTTTTTTTTGTTCGTCTTATCGTATTGTTTGTTTGCTGTGTGCGTGTATTGGCTTTTTTTGTTGGTTCTTTGGCGATGTGAAGACGTTTTTCTTTTTATACCATGAATGGAAAACGTTATCTGGAAAGACAAAAACAAAAATAAAATCGAGGTTACTATGTACTGGTTGTTTTCAAAATTGAACTTTTATTTAGTAATGAAGGAAATTATGAGAATTTTGCTTTATGTAGAGATTCGAATATTTAGCAAAACTATAAATATTGGTATAGGAATATATTTCGAACAAATTTTCAACAGAATTAGGTAAACCTCTTGTAGAATTGCAATAGAAAATCACTTTTTCGTTTGGTTTTCTCCGAATTAAGAGTCCAGATTGAACGAAATCAATCACGATTTTGTATAAACTAACAAAAAGATCGTTGTGTATTGATTAAATGATTATCATATGTGAATATTGTAAGTTATATTCAGCCGATTGTTCAATGTATTTCCGTTCTGTATATTATCGTGTATGTCTGCACGCACTTAATGCTACAAATAGTAGGTAATTAAAATAAAGCTGTGAAAAATAATGATTGTATTTCGGCAATACAAGCATAGTATTCATTGATATTGATAAGTATTTACAATATGCAATAGTTGAATAGATGCCTTATTTGTAGAAAACAATACATGTCAAGTCGAAAGCGGCATCAAGGTAACAAAGTATACGTGTAAGCGTATGAATATGATTTTGATTTTGATGGCTAGACTCTTGGGAAATCAAAATATTTCATTCTCAATATTCTTTGACAATTATATATGCCTCTTTTTGTGCTGTTTCTGATTGCGAATATTTTTCTAATCTGTTCTTTTCTACAATGCCATACTACTGCAATGATATAGAGTGGTTCATTTTTGTTCATTAATTAATGCATACACATACTGCGAAGTTACAGTAAAAATTTTCTTTTTTCCAATTATTTGCACTCTACTTTTACACTACAATACTGAAATGATAACTTAGAATAAAAGAACTACTTTTTTGAATTTATTAAATAAAACGAAACTCATAAAATGAAGTAATTGTGCTACAATATTGATGCATCTCTTTTAAAAGAAAATATTGTTTAATAAATGCAATGGATGACTCGAAGTACGTGACTTGAGTAATACTGCTATTATAATCAAGATAAATTTGAACAGCGAATAAAGTTTGTATTGTGTCTAATTTACCTAGAAATAGATTTCAGCTTGAAGGTTTTCTCAAATAGTTGTGTACAAGATCATAGTTCAGCGAATCAACACTTTCTCTAAATTGAACCATGATACTTAAATTCATATCACGAGAACTTGTAGCAATCTTCGATTGAGTGTCGGACGAAGAAACCTCTAGAAACGAGAATCTATATCGATTGGCATTGTATACGCATGAATTGACAGTTATTTCTTTTGACTATAATACAATATCGGATAGGTTTACGAATGCACATTTGCTATCGATATCTTTATCTTGATACTGTCAAGAAAAATATAACACAGATGTTTCGACTTATTCGATCGGTCGGAAAGAGAAATTTTTCTTTGTAAACTTTCATGGCTCAGTGACGACACGAGATATGTTCTTTTATCAATTCAGTACATTACGAAATGTTTAAAAGGTTGTTGTGACGTAGTATACTCATCATCATCATCATCATCATATTTCATATTCGTTATTTTATTGCTGGTAAAAATGATCAATGAGAAAAATGTACGAGGATGATATCCATTGATATATCCTCCTATTACCATGAACGTAAAATATGAAAGAAATTAATTGACGTTGGAAAAATAATTAACTTTTTCATTATTAAAAATGCGTTTTGTCATTCCGTGATATTAAATGTTCTTTTCTATCTATGATAATAAATTATTGACAAGTTTAAAGTATTTTCTCAGTGTGTTATGAAAATGCATTTAACTTACAAATTATAGCTATTTAAAAGTGTCAATCGAATTCTAGATAATGAACAACAGTAGAAGTGTGAAGAAAGAAACAACTGTATTTTTTAAGTTTGATTAAGTTTGTGCTTAATCTATATAAAAGAAAAAAGTATTATAGAGAACTTACATGGAATACATCTAACTTTTTGTTTTATTCTAATGTTTTTCTTGCAGTATTATTGAATTTTGATCATGAAATAGACAACGAGTAGTAACACAAATATTATTATGCATCGACAAGTTGCATTGGATTGAAAATACACTATGAAAAACGCATTCATTTATGATCAAAAGTAGTAGAATAGAATAAATATGCATAGAAATGGCACAAATAAAATACTAAAAGAACAAAAGGCAGAACCAGCTCTATGTTTACTTTGTGCACGGCATAACATATGCTTCATTAATCTTATAATGTATGAATGTTTTGATTCTAGGAGAATAATTCCGACATGCTATCATCGTCTATGGTGATAAAGCAGATAAACAATAAGAGATAACCTATATCTGTTAAGCATACTGATCATATTATATGCGGCAGTCCTTTGACAAATACTTGTTGATTGAAAACATATGATTTCAATAGTTTGAATAGCGAACATTAGGAAAGATATTCTAATTACACGTGAGTTAGCATCAACGAAAACCATTGCCATCGAATACTTGTTTAGTGTTCGTAATAGTCATTAGTGTTTTTAATCTTTTATTTAATGTTGTATCACTCGTAGCCATATCTATTGTTTATCTATTCAATTTTTTTCTTATAGTTTATACAGTTGAATAGCAGCAAAATAAAATAAAATCTACATCGACTACAATTTCGGCTTTTCTCATATGCTTATATCATATGTTTTTTCATAGAGATTATCTATACTTTCTTCGCATATAAATATCTTGTTATGGTTGATTATTATTCTATGATGTCAAAATCATAAAGCATTTCAAGTCATCTTGCTTATCAATTTTTATTTTACCTGAAGGGTTTTTTATTTTTCTCGATTCGGGAGTCAAGGCAAACATTATCTAACGATGAACTAAGCTTATCGTTACTGAAATGGTTGCTTCTGCTTCAGTACTATGAAAAGTTTGCTGACACATTCTATATCTTTGTTATTGTATCGTCAAGCTTTCGCCGTAATCTATGGTTTTTTCTTCAATTTCTAGACGACAATAAGCTATCTCTATGTCCTCTGCCAATCATTTATCAATGACAATTGATGATTGTCCATGGATGCATATATCGACTATTACATAGCTGACACACTCAAATTAGTTTTAGGTGAGACAAACATATCAACGTCTGATTACAGAAACCATTAGGAGTCTTCTTTTTTCTTATTATTATCCATTACCAAATTTAACAATCACCCAACGAAGATACTCTAATTTTTCTACGTTTTCAACTTGATAATTAGATTTTTTTATAGAAATATTTAAGAATATTCTTCTACGATGTCCAAGGTCATTTTTGTTTCAATTACTTGTTTGATTTTGACTTAATTAGATTTGGTTTCATGGAAGCATTCTTTTTATAAATAATATCTATCAAGTTCCAAAATACTTACTACAACTAATGAAATCGAAACCATCATAATAATGTCTCCCATAGGAGTTTTTTAGTGGCTTAGTTAGCTAATATCACCTAAAGAAAGTTGTTTGTTTCATTTACAATAACAGAAATCTTATCAGAAATTCCTTCCAACTCTTTCATTGTTAAGAAATTTAGTTTCAACTAAAAGTAATTTAAAAAAAACTCAAACGTTACAGAAAACAGGGCTTTTCTTTTGTTGTACGGCGTAGTAAATTATTTCGAATTTCTCCAATCAACATTCGAGATAGTTACTTGCTTGCTGCTAAAACTAACATCATAATTAATGCATGACAGCTACGTATCGAAACGTGTTGTCGATAATTACAATGCAGACCTTTTCTTTCATATGTTATTTTTGTTTTAATATTAATGTGCAGTAGCAACATGTAATGTGACTCCGTAGGAAACGAGGATATGATATCATCAAGAATATTTATCATTATTATTCGTTGAATAATACTCTGTCATATGAAAACAAAGTATACATCAATGAATTGATCTTAAGACCAACCATTCTCGTAAAAGAAACGATCTTTTGTTTTGCATTGATGGCATTTCTCAAGGAGAATTAATATTTCCTGTTTCAAAAGGGCACAATAGAATAAAATCAATCAAAAACAATCATATATATAAATATATTTTTTTTTTCTTCTGACATATAGTTAGCGTTTAAATGTATCATTGATACCATAGAAAGCTTATACGTTTTTATTTATGAGGGAGAAAATACATTTTTTCTTTTACGGTTCATTTAACATTTTCATGGGTAATAATGTGTTGCTGGAAAAGAAATCTAGAGTTGTGTATTTTACTCAGTGATTTGTAAAACCAATAATTTCATTGGAAGAAAAAGAACAAACAATGTGTCAGATTACGTTTCAACTAATTTGTTTACTAAAGAAATGCTTCGAAATAGAGAAAAACCAGATCATCGCTATCTCGTTTCTATCGTTATTCTTCAATCATACCGTCATAATTCTCTTAGTTTGATAAAGCCTGTTTTAGATAATTAAGAACATACTTTAGCCATCATTGTGGCGATGCATGTTTGATAGGCTTCTAAAACTTATTTATAATATTTCTTTAGAAATATCCTAGCAATATAAAATATAATATGAATCTGTGAATGCTAAGATAAAAATCGAGATGGTCAATATCATTATTTTTAATATCAATCATAAATCAATTGGAAATATCAGTTCATCTTATAAATAGCAGCCAGTGATGGAGACATCATTTTAAAATTTACCG